TGACCTATCATCTGGAGCCAAGATTGCCACACGTCATTGGATTCTAACTAGGGATGCTCATCCAATCAAGGTTCCTATTCATCGTCGGTCACCAAAGGAGATCAAGATTTTACGTGCAAATGTCAAGAAGATGTTGGAGAAGGGTGTTATTTGGAAGTTGCGGAGTCCTTGGGTATGTGAACTTCATCTTGTGACGAAGCCTGATGGGAGTATTCATTTCTGCATTGACTATCGTCTGTTAAACGATGTAACAATCCCGGATGTGTACCCTCTTCCTCACACTGCTGATCTCTTGGATCGTTTGGGGCGAAGTCGTTGGTTCACCAAGCTAGATCTTGCTTCTGGGTACTGGCAAGTACCGATGGCCGAAGAAGATATTCCTAAGACTGTTTTTTGTACACCATTTGGTTTGTATGAGTTCTTGGTGATGGCATTTGGTTTGAACAATGCTCCAGCAACTTTTCAACGGATGATGGACGAGGTTCTTTGCGATATGCCAGAGGTGACTGCTGACTTCATTGATAATGTCTTGATCCACTCGGAGGGGATGTGGGAGGAGCACATTCGTGATATTTGTAAAGTGTTGGATCGGCTACGCGACGTTGGTTTAAAGCTGAAGTGGTTGAAGTGTGTGTTTGGATCCAAGGACACAACTTATCTTGGGTACCGTATTTCTCATGAGGGTTTGCAAGTTGATCCTGACAAACTTGTGGCTGTTCTAAAGTTCCCTACTCCGAAGTGTGTGAATGATGTGCAGCGCTTCTTGGGCAAGGTGCAATATCTCGGGCGTTTTGTGGATCATCTTTTTGATCGCATTGCACCATTGCAAGCGTTGTTGAAGTCATCAACGTCATCTTTCATTTGGTCTCCAGATTGTGAGCAGGCGTTCAGGGATTTCAAAGAGTTATTGACAACTCCTCCGGTTTTGGCATATCCTGACTACACTCGACCTTTTATTTTGCGCGTGGATGCTTCTGACATTGGTCTTGGAGGGGTGTTAATGCAAGAGAGCTCGAGTGTGCCTGATCAGCGCTATCCCATTGCATATATAAGCCGTACATTACAACAAGCGGAGATGAACTACTCCACGACAGAGAAGGAGTGTTTAGCAGCAGTCTGGGGTTTCGAGAAACTTCATGCATATCTACATAGTTCTCAGACATTACTTGAAGGTGACCATGCTGCTGTTACTTCGTTATTAAAGCAGAAGAACCTGGTTAGTCGTACTACTTGGTGGGCTTTGAAGCTTCAGATATATGATTTTGATGTTGTTCACCGCCCAGGGAGTTCTATGGCTGATGCTGATGCCCTTTCTCGAGCTCCTCTTCTTTCTTCACTCTCTTCTCATGTTTCTGACGAGCCTGTCGTTCCAGCATCTGTGGATTTTCTAGATGAGGATTTTGTGCTGTCGGCAGTTGCTGTACTTGACATTCAGTGTCCACAAGGTGCAGAGCAAGATTTACCTTCACTTGATGAGGTTCGCGAGGCTCAAAAGATTGAGCCATGGATTCAAAGGCTTCGAGATGGGTTTGAGAATCTTGCATCACTTGCTGATGACTTGCCTTTCCGGCATTTACATTCTCAATATCACTTTGAAGATGGCCTTCTTTATTTTGTGGGGACAGATCCTGATGATCATTTACAGCTAGTGGTGCCTTTTATCTTTATTCTGCAGTTTCTCCATGCCTACCATGATTCTACTATTCTAGGTGGGCATATGGGACATTGTTGTGTAATTGAGAAGTTACGCATGTTTTTCTATTGGCCGGAGATGCGACGTGATATTATCCGGTATGTGCGTAGTTGCGTTTGGTGCCAAGCTCGTAATACTCCCCCTCGTGCTGCGGAAGGACGGTTGGAGTCAATTGCGGTTTCCCGTCCATTTGAGTTGGTGGCATTTGATCTTATGGGACCTTTTCCACGGCTAACTGCTGGCAATGAGTATGTTATTATTGCTTCTGACTATTTGACTCGTTGGGTGGAAGTTAATGCTCTTGCTAGCACCTCTACAACTGCTGTTGGATACTTCCTCCTCAATCGAGTGGTGTTCCAGCATTCTTGTCCAGAGCGGATTCTTTCGGATAATGGTCCCGCATTTATGGCTGAGGCATTTCATGTTTTGACGTCTCGATTGGGGATTCGCCACACTTTCACGAGTGCTTATCATTCACAATTAGACGGTCTGGTGGAACGGCTTGTTCGGACGTTCAAGGGGATGATTGCAAAGTATGTGAACTTTTAGCATTCGGATTGGGATGGTTATTTGCCGTCTCTTCGGTATGCATATGTCATTGAGGTGCAAAGTTCTGTTGGTGCTTCACCATATAAACTCCTATATGGTCATGATCCAATATTACCAACGGAGCTGGGTTTACCTTCACGATTGCCACGAGCTGCAGATGCTAGGTCATAGGATCAATATTTGACAAGCATTCTTCCACTTGTCCGAGTGGAGTCTGCCGAACACTTAGGCTGCGTACAAGTGGGACAACAACGGCGCTACAACTCCCATCATCGTCCACCTGCAGAGTACAAAATGGATGATTTGGTGTTAGTCCATTTTCCCCATCTTACAGTACGTGGTTTATCTAAGGGGCTCCTTGCATAGTGGAAAGGACCGTATCGGGTGTTGCGGCAAGTTGGACCACAAGTTTATGAGGTTCTGCATGACATCCAGCAGGCCGATCCTCCAGAAATTGTGCATGTGCAGTGGTTGAAATGCTTTATACAAAGGAATCAGGAGCGGTTAATACCATCTACAGATCTGCAGATGCCTCCTCCTGATGTTCCTTCAGATCCCAGCTCGTCTACAAAAGAATTTTCCATTCTTCCGAGAGGAAGGGATGATATGAGGGCCAAATGTATGGCTATAATGCCGTATACTAATATTAACGTAATGAGATTTTGGTAGCCATTAGATTGATTTCAATCAAGACCACTCGCTCTTGTATATAAACTAGGGTTTTTGGGCTAATTATTTTTATATTCCCTTTCCATATTCCATGCACTCACACCTTTATATTTATTTTGGCATTTGACATTTCAATGTTTATATCATCACCTACCACATGAGTATAATCTTTTTTAATAGAAAAACTTACTAAACTCTTTAAAGTTTAGAAAATGATCATTTTGGGCTGGTGACTTATTCTTTGTAATGCAATATTGACACAAGCACCCACAGAAATGGATCTAGCACTTGCTGTGAGCTCTGCAGCTTTCATCACTCTCTTGGTCTTGTGGTTCTTGAAACCTTCCTCAAATCTTCCACCAGGTCCATGGGGATTGCCCCTGATTGGCCACTTACACTTGCTAGCAGGAATGCCCCTGCACAGAGCATTCCAACGCATAGCCAAGAAGTATGGTCCTATTACTTCATTGAGGCTGGGAATGATCCCAACCGTGGTGATTTCCAACCAAGAGCTTGCCAAGGAGATCTTCACCACACACGATCTAAATTTTGCTTCCAGGCCATACTTGGTTTCAGGTGACCACTTCAGCTATAACTTTTCTGGACCTGCAACCAGTCCCTATGGAGAGCTATGGCGAAACACTCGCAAGCTGTGTACAATAGAGCTCTTCACGGCCAAGTGTATTGACTCCTTCTCTTGGGTCAGAAGGGATGAGCTTTCTCGTACCTTGGAGGGGATTTTGAAGGACCATGGCGATGACGAACCTGTGGAGGTGAGAAAAGTGGCCAGTGTTTTCTCCTTCAACATCACATCACGAATTTTGATGAGCAAGAGGTACTTTGGTGATGAAAACGTAGATGCCCATGCCATGGAATTCAAGGAGCTCAATGACAAAGTTCTTGAGCTGGTGATCAATCCCTGCATTAGCAACTTGGTGCCCTGGTACTTGAGATGGCTGGACTGGCAGATTCCTCGCTACAAGCGAATCCATGCCAAGCAAGACGAGTTCTTGCAGAAGATTGTTGAGGAGCACAAGGAGACGACACGGGAATGCAAGGACTTCCTCGATATCATGCTCGACTTCTTTGGAGCAGGGACACAAGGGGAGACTTATGTAAAGGCGAATCTCATGGTACGCTTTGCAAAACTTCTCCTTGATTGCTTATTTCTTATGCTACAAATGCCCAGGAGATGTTAATTGCTGGTACTGATACCACCACCACCGTGAGCGAGTGGCTCATGGGTGCAGTGATGCACAATCCTCGAGTCATGGCCAAGCTCCACGAGGAGCTCGACAGTGTTGTGGGCAACACTCGGATGGTGCAAGAGTCGGACCTCCAAAAGCTCGAGTACCTCCAGATTGTCCTCAAGGAATCACTCAGACGCTATCCTCCGGGAGCCTTACTCATGCCGCGCATCTCAAGGCAAGCAGCAACCGTTGGCGGCTTCCACGTTCCAAAAGGGACCACTCTCCTGGTGAATGCATGGGCGATTGGAATGGATCCGGCAGTGTGGGAGAATCCCACACAATTCCACCCGGAGCGCTTCTTGGGGAGCTCCATCGATGTCAAAGGCCACAACTTTGAGCTCCTCCCGTTTGGATCTGGGCGGAGAAAGTGTCCGGGAATGGGCATGGGATTGCGATCAGTGGAGCTGCTCGTGGCAAATCTCATCCATGGCTTCAACTGGAGCTTTGTGCCTGGGACAACGCCGTCCATGGAAGATGTTTTCTCCACTACTGCGCAGCTCAAGACCCCATTGCAAGCCATGGCGACTCCAAGGCTCCCCAAGGAGGTCTACATCAAAGTTTAGAGATCACTTAGTGGACTTTGCTACAAAGACTATTCTACTCGTATTTACTCCGCAGCTCAAGACCCCATTGCAAGCCATGGCGACTCCAAGGCTCCCCAAGGAGGTCTACATCAAAGTTTAGAGATCACTTAGTGGACTTTGCTACAAAGACTATTCTACTCTTAATAAATAGCTGGTTTTTCCATGTCTATAAGATCATATGTAGGCTTTTGGATTGCAGCAATGTGTTTGTTAGATCCGAATTCCAAGAAGTGTTCAAGGCTCGCTCGCTCGATCGATCCAAAAGAGTCTCTTTCTCATTTATGTATTAAGTAAGCATCTCCAAAGGTTGACCGTCGAATTTCCCGCTCACTTCAAGCCGACGCGACGTTGAGCCAATCACAGCGCAGGACCGAGGGATGGGCAATCTTAACCATTGAATTTCCCGCTCACTTGAAGCGGACGCGAGGTTGCGCGAATCACAGCGCAGGACCGGGATCGGCCCGAGCACCGTCGGATGAACCTGCCCAGTACCGTCCGATGCAGGTAATACTCAAAAACCATCCGAGAGCATCGTGAAGGTCCTGCTCAAAATTGGACTGAGCCATCCCTTCTCACTTTCGCAGCTACGTTTAACTCTTTCGTGCAAGACACAGCGGGAGAAATTCTGTAAAAAAGCTAGCACACAAGTGCTGCTCGAGAAAACCAACTTACTTCCAAGGACGCCTTTTTGGCAAGCTTCACGTTGGTTGCTGTGGTCTCTTCGCCTGTTGCGAGGGTGATGCGAGCCTTTTGAAACAGCCACCTTAACGTTCGAGCGTCAGCTTTCCTTCTGTGAGAACAAGCTGAGAGGCCGCCATTTTGAGCGCTGAGACTACATCCAGATTTTGCAGCCTGTAAGAAACCCTTTCGGCATCTAGACTGCCAATCAAGCTGTTACCGGAGTCGAGGTTGCAAAGTTGAGCCTTGAAAGCAACAACAAAGTTTGCTCAAAATTCCCACACGATCCAACCGGTTCATGCTCCACTTGTCTGACGATTGGCGATTTGTTTCTCCAGTGAGACAATGAGAAAAAGGCCTCGATGGTAACGAAGCATGGAGCTGCACGAAAATTAACGAGAAAAAAAACAGAGGTTTTTTTTCTACCACGACTCCACCACGAAATCACACAAAAGCGCTTGCTCAAGAGAATCAGTTTGATTCTTGTCGGGATGCCCCCACACGCCGGCGCAGCGGCCCTGCCACAAAAAAAATCGTGTTTTGGCACAGAAAGAAGCAATGAAACGAACCAGAGGATGAATTCAATGAAACGCATCAGGACCAGAGGATGGAAGATCGAAAAAGAAACCGACGGCAGGATTTGGGTGCTGCTCAAGTATGTATGTGTTGCGGAAGAGGAAGAGAGCCTCTCAAAGGGAACAACAACCTCTATCTCAGGCTAGCAAGGCAAGAAGAAGAAGATCACCCTCCGGAGGAAGAGAGTTGCCTGGTAGCACTCGATCCGGCGCTGTGGAAGGGCCTGCCGGCGCTGCTGCTGCTCAAGATCCTTGTCGACCATCTCCCCTTGGATCGCCTCTTCCGCCTTGCCGACGGCGACTGGGAGCTCACCGCCGCCATTCTCGCGCAGCCCTTGAAGCGCGACAAGTATGCGCTGCTGCTCCCGAATCAAAGCCTCGTCTTGCACAACTTTGGTGGAGTCGAGGAGAGCTCTGCTTCTACTCCTCGAGATCTGCCGCCCAGGTGGAAGAGACTGGATGAGAGGGATGGTCAGAGCTCGTCGCAGAGGCGCCTCCTGGCCGTGTCTCCGCGCGGGCTGCTGGTACTCTACTGCGCCACAGGCGAAGGCGACCCGGGAGATCGTCACTCCCTGCTCTGCTACAGCCTAGATCCGGAGCAGCCGCAGCACCAAGCTTCCGTTTTGCTTCCAGCAGAGTATGATCATGACGGCGGTGGCGTCCAAGCTTGCCAAGTCGTGCATCCCGGCTGCAAGGATGATCAGTGGTGGTATCAGATCGTCATCTTGTATGCGGCAGGGAGCAAAGCTCTGGTTTTTGACTCGCGCTCCCTCTCCTGGAACACGGTGCGCAAGGCGAGCGCCGCGGAAAGCGACGTCTTTATCACTAGCAGCTGCGAGGCCATCCATCTCCCCACCAAGTCAATCTCGCATGTTGTGCTGCCTCTGGGGCTCCATTGCCAGCACCCTGAGGCGATCCAGACCCAAGACTCCACCTATTTGTTTCTTGTTGCAGCAATCGGCAAAGCCACAGGTAAAAAACACTTTTTTTTTCTTTTCTGTTCTGATGAAGCTGCCAAATCTCTGCAGCCGACTATCGCTGGACGAGAACCCCAGCTTTGGATGCTGCAAATGGTGTGAGCTACTCTCTAGTTTTCATATCTTCTTTCTCACAATGTGTATGAGCAGGCATCCATGAGAATTCCCCAGTGGTGCTCGGTGGCTTGAGGATGGATGGGGAGACTGGAGACTGGGAACTCCTCCCAGGTCCTAGGGACGAAGTGTGCCGAGCTTTGGTGCTGCCGGAGCTGCGGTGCCTGGGAGTCGCGGGTTGCGTGGGCGTTTTTGTCGACTCCAAGAAGCGCTTGCTCTCGTGCTTGGTCGATCCGTGGAGCTGGTATATCAGCAGCTCCGTCAAATGCTGGAACTTGGATGGCAAAATCATCCAGATAGCCTCTCCATGATCTTTTCTATTG